TGTAGCTTCAGTTTCCTGTTCTTAGCCGACAGGAGTGGCACACGGTGTGGTCTTCTGCTGCCGGAGTCCATCTACCTCAAAGTTTGACGTGTTGTGCATTCAGAAATGCTTTTCTACATACCTTGGTTGTAACGAGTGGTTATTTGAGTTACTGTTGCCTTTCCATCAGCTCAAACCAGTCTGGCCATTCTCCTCTGACCTCTGGCTACAACGAAGCATTTTCACCCACAGAACTGCTGCTCACTGGATGTTTTCCCTTTTTCAGACCATTCCCTGTAAACCCTAGAGATGGTTGGGCGGGACTGTCCCAGAAGATCACCTAAATCACCTTTCTTCCCCATTCTGAATTTCGGTTTTAATCGCAGTGGATCATCTTGTCCATGTCAACATGTCTAAATGCATTGAGTTGCCACCGTGAGATTAGCAGAATAGTAATTAGTGTTAACAAGCAGTTGGACAGGCGTATCCAATAAAGAGGCCAGTGAGTGTATTTCTGTTTTCACTGTCTCATTATTTTAAAACAATTATTTGTATTTGCAAATGTTTATTTTTAGTGGAAAGAATATAATTGTCCCTCTTTTCTATTTTGTGCTTCTGTAGAAACTTTGGATTTCAGTGGAGTAATAATACTAAACCACTGGATGTGCTTTGTGTCACCATGAGTACTAACAAGCAGCTGATAGTGTAGAATGGTCTCTGTTTTTATATTTGTTCTGATTTGCTAGGAAGTTTTTTTTAAGCTGTTGAGATCTACTGAGAATCGGAAAGCTCATTCTAGTAGGGTTGTCACGGTAACCGGTGTAGCGGTAAACCCCGGTAAAAAAGTTGACAATAATAATAACCGTCTTGTTTTAATAAAACTATATTATCTTGGTGGATTACCGTGGCTGCGGTGTAGGCGCGGTGACCCTTACCAGCCACCGTATCATCTGCTGAAGTTGCCGGCGGCACATGCGCACTTTGTTGTTTACAACCAAAACTTTCTTGAAGCTAAAGCTGAAATAATGGCCAAAGGAGTAGACGGCAGCGCTCAGGAGGACATTTTTTATCCCTCAAAGAAGACAAAGTGGGAAGTACGGGCTTCTTTTAGATATTTGAAGAATGCCGAGGGACAGCTGATAGAAGACGGCTATCCTGTTTGCAGCACGTGCAGAAAAAGTGTCTGTGAAATGCAGCAACGCTTCAAATCTCATGACACATCTGCGTGACCATCACCCACAACTCTACAGTCAACGCAAGGCAAGCTAACGTTAGCGTTTTAGCTAAAATGCGTGATCCGAGGATTTGGGTTGAGGGAGAATGCAACGAGTCGCTATATAAAGCAGCCGCAGCGCCGCTACCTGCATATAAACCGTGTCGCGGACACCGCCATGTTGAAATGACGCTATGCATTACGGGGCTCCCAGGGGCCGATAAGAGTTGGTCTCTCTCCGAGAATAATTATGAATTTAACAATGATTACTGCCTGATGACATTTTCCCACATCTGCAAAGCTCACTGGAAGGACACAAACCGAGGACAATATTTTCCTGATATAGGGTTTATTACTCAAGTAAGGGTAAAAAAGTATCTGATTAGAAGGCTACTTGAGTACTGAGTACCATCTGATCTAATATTTTTAAAATGATGACATAAAACAGACATAAAATAAGAAGTTATAGGCAAATATTGGTATTTTAAAGACTAAAGGGAAAAATGTAAACAAATAAACAACATAATTACAAAATAACACATTTTAGGCAAAATTTAGACACAAACTGAGGACAATATTTCCTGACATACAGGGTTTATTTAATTGTGTGAAAATGTAGCACGTTTAAAAAAATACTGTGATAATACCGAAAACCGTGGTAATTTTGGTCACAATAACTGTGAGGTTACATTTTCACACCGTGACAACCCTAGTCTCCTCATCGGTTTAGTCAGTGCAGTTTTATAGTACATGAGCTCTGAACTTCTCTAGAGCATCAGTGCAGCTGTCAGAATCTAAATGTCTGCATGGCTGTTTTTAATCACATTTATTATGTGATGAATAGAAAGGCAGATATTTAGACTTTGTTTATCCTTTAAAGCAAGCATTGCAGAGTTTGCTTAAGAGAGCAACAAACTTTCTTCTTTTCTTCTTCAGAATGTCAGTTATGTCTTTGCTGAAAATAAATGTACAAAATTGATTTCATAACTCGCGAATCTACAGAAAATCCAAACCTGAACAGCTTGAACACTGCCTGCCTTCTGGTTTCCAAACACTGTTGCTCGCCAAATAAAACTGTTTCAGCAGGTGGAGCAGGGTTGGCAGCCAGCTGTTTAGTGTGCTGCTAGGGCTGCATTTATTGGCTTAGAGCTCTTCTGCTGTTACCTTTATCTGAGACGTACACCTGGCAGGTTGTCTGGAAGATATTACAATAAGATGTTGAAATATATCTCTCACATTTGACTTTGATGCAGCTTCTTTCTGCTGCTAGTGTTTTAAGAAGAAAAAACAGTATTTTATACAGTGCCTCTCAAGATAAAGATCACGAGGTGCTTCACAAGATCAAATATATAAATTATTAATTAATTAAAAAAATGATTAAAACATGATTCAAAAATACCTTAAAATGAGAAAAATAAAAGATTGTGATTTAAATAATTGTAAGGAAAGGGACAGAGAAAATAATTAAGAAGGAGGTGGTAATCAGTGGCAGAATTTGTAGGAAGAGCAGAATAAGGAGGGATGAAGGTCACACAAAAGCCAGCTTGAACAAGTGAGTCTTCAGCTGCTTTTTAAAGGAGACCACTGAGTCCACTGATCTCAGGCTCAGGGGGAGAGAGGTCCAGAGTCTGGGGGCCACAGCAGCAGATGATCTGTCACCTTTGACCTTTAGCCTGGTGCTGCACAACCAGTAGGCTTTGGTCACTGGACCTCAGGGACCTGCTGGGGGTGTAGGGACTAAGAAGATCACCAATGTAAGATGGTGCTTGTCCATGTAAGGCCCTAAATATTAGGGATGTCCCGTTCCGATATTGATATCGGATATCTCCCCCAAAACACTATTGGAATTATATCGGACTGCATCCAAATTCTCCGATATTAGCAGTACGTTCCGCTTTAAATTCCATTCCAGCAATTCTTTCCATCTGCGCCCAGATCCAGCATGCAAAGTCCACGTGATCAGAGCAGTGTGTGCTAGCAAAGTAGCAAGGAACAATGTCGGCCATGTGGCTCTTTTCTTTTGTTAAAGTCTGAAAAAGACAGTTTGGTACAGTGCAACACTTGTCATGCACAAGTTTCCCGTGGTGGAACAGAACCGGGGAAGATTATTACATCCAACCTCATCGTGCATTTGAAGCAGGATCACAAAACATTGCATGAGGATTTTCTCTGTGTGTGCAATTGAAACTTTAGACACTCAACTTGTAGCAGTTGGTCAGTGAACAATATTGTGTTTTTGCCTTATGTCCCTAACCTCAGCTGTTCACATTCATGCAACCAAAGGTTAATAAAAATTAGTCAGTTTTTCATATTTACTGTTGCTGGCTTTTGTTCTCTGAGTAATATCACTTGATCAAGTCTTTTATGCATTCCACACTACAAACTAGGTAAAAGTATGTATGATTTGTGCTGATATCATATCAGATTGATATCGGTATCGGTCAATACTGAAGGCTGCAATATCTGTATCGTATCGGAAGTGAATAAAGTTGCATTGGGACATCCCTATTGTAGACCAGAACCAGGATCCTGAAATGAACCCTGAAGCTGACTGGCAGCCAGTGAAGCTGGAGGAGAAGCGCGGTGATGTGGGTGTGCTTCTTGACAAAGGGTTGGGTGTGAGAAGCAAGCTGACCGAGAGAGTCTCTGACTTTGGGAGCCAGCTTGTCTGGGGCACAGATGAGGATCTCAGTCTTATCTTCATTCAGCTGTAGAAAGCTCCCAGCCATCCAGGTTTTAATAGTCTAAGCAGGTGTGCAACAGCTGCAGCTTGGACATCTCATGGGGCTTAAAGGAGATGTATAGCTGGATGTTGCTACGTATGGTTTTGTGCCCACTGATACTAAAGTGTGCCCACATGATTGACACTGCCTGGTTTTCTAGGACTAACGTCCTTTTTCAGTGTTTTCTTTGCTGACCCAGTGTTTGCGGTCTTCACTTTTCCCCACAGTTGGTTCACATGAGTGAAAACTGCTCACGGTTGGCTGTGAGGAAACAAACCTGCTCTTTCTGTGTGTGAGAATATAAAGATGGCATGCCTGTGCTAGTTGACAGCATCTGGTTGTTTGTTAGATTAAGTGAACTTTAAAGTCAGTGAAGGTAGCTGCATGCTTAGAGAGCCCAAAGTACCCTCCGCTCATATTCAGGTTCCCATTGTTTGTAGGCTTGTCTTCGTGAACGTTGCATTTATCTCCATTTATCAGCTAGTTCATGCATTTCCTTTTCTGTCTTAAAAGCTTTGTTTTTATCTCCTGTCTTTTTAAGGCAGACGTGCCCAAAGTGCAGCCTGGGGGAGTGGTATTCTACAACCCCCACTTGCATTTCAGAATCGTGTAGTTTGGTCTCCCCAGCAGGCCTTTTATCTAGATCTGCACTGTTTGCCTCGATTTGTTGGATCGCCTTCTAGGGTCGTAAAGCGTGACTGAGGTCCATGTAAATAAGCTACAACAAAGAAGTTTGATACGATTTCTTTCAAATCATGTCACAAAACCCACGAGTCATCTCCTGCAGGTGCTGTACCAACTAGGCGAAATTCCAGCTTAAAACTTTACTGTTTATTTTTTCTAGTTTTGTCTCCAGCTAGTCGCTAACAGTCTCACCCCAGTGACAGACTGGAATGAGTCAAAGGGCACTGAGAGGTTTTCATGAATAATAGTGCATCAGGGAGAGAGTCAGGTGTACTGAAGTTCAGTGTGTGTGTGTGTGTGTGTGTGTGTGTGTGTGTGCGTGTGTGTGTGTGTGTGTGTGTGTGTGTGTGTGACTGCTAGCCTCTGTTTCAAGTGTAATCATCTACCTTAATTTCCTCCAGGTTCGAATGAGGTTTGAACTCAAGTCCCCAGTTAAGACCATCGAAGACTTCATCAAGCGTTTCACCCCCAGTCGCCTGACCTCAGGGTCTAACAGCAGCAGCTCCTCTAGTCTCAACCGCTCCTCCAACAGAGGATGCTCCAGCCTGCTTTCCTCCCCCTCGGCAGACAGCACACTCACCAAACTAAACGAGGAGCAGTTTTCTGGAAGTTTGGAGCACACTTTCAGCGCTGTTCCACCCTCCTATGATGGAAAAACCTCCAGCAACCTTGAGGAAGGAGAGCTGCGCTATGAGGCTGAGTCACCTGATGAGGCTGCATTAGTTTATGCTGCCAGAGCCTACAAGTGCTCTTTGGTCGAACGCCTCCCTGACCAGGTGACGGTGGAGCTGCCTCACCTGGGTAAGCTGAATTTTGAACTGCTGCACACGCTGGGGTTTGACTCCACCAGGAAGCGCATGTCTGTGGTGGTTAGACATCCTCTCACAGATCAAATCACCGTCTACACCAAAGGAGCAGACTCTGTCATCATGGATCTCATCAAACCTCCTGACACAGGTAGAAAAACGCTCGTGTGTGTGTGTGTGTGTGTGTGTGTGTGTGTGTGTGTGTGTGTGTGTGTGTGTGTGTGTGTGTGTGTGTGTGTGTGTGTGTGTGTGTGTGTGTGTGTGTGTGTGTGTGTGTGTGTGTGTGTGTGTGTGTGTGTGTGTTGGACTTTTAAAACATTTTTGTGTCTCAACTTGAACCTTGAGGCTAAAATCAATTACAAGTTGTGAAGTTAATGTTATCTGAACTGAGGTAAGTGACAAATGTTTCACATGCCGATGACAGCTGAACTATATGGGATGCTAATTATAAATATTTTTGAACTATTACCAGCTAAATGTAGTCACCTTCAACTTGTGATAAAATGTCTGACGGTGACATTTTAAAGTCAAGTTTTAATCAAAATAATTTTCTAGATTAGTTTTTCTGGCTAAAGCTTTAAACCGAGCTGCATAAAACTGTTTATGTGTTTAGAATCGAGTTTGTCTAAAAGCTGAAACACAAATGTAAATCTGGCTGTTTTAAACTGCATATTTCACTTTCCAGTTTTGGTTCTTTTTTAAAACACAAGAAAGGTTTCTCTTTACCTTGCTGACAGTCTCGTTTGCATCTGCAAACATCCTCAGAGCTGACGCTCAACTCTGAGGATGTTTGCTCTGTCAGCAAGGTGAGGAGAAACCGTTGCTGTGTTTTAAAAAAGAGCCAAAGATGGAATTGGAAGCCAAACACAGAAAGAACGTACCAAAGATGTTTACATATTTCACTGTCATGTAAAATGGTCGAATAGGTGAAACATATGTGCGTATGCCCTACATAACACCTCAGTCCCTTTGATGGTGAAGTTGTGTTCAGTCGTCAGATCTGTGGTTCTGTCTGGGTTCTTCCTGCACACTGATAAATCCTCAATGTTCAAACAAACTCATGACTTCCCACCAAAGGGACTTAATTCCACTTGTACTTTGGTAGGCTACTTCAGTTTTACTGAAGCTGAATTGCTGATTGGATGTAATACTAAAGCCCTGACTGTAGCTAAAGTATATTCATGCACAGTGAGACAGCCTTTCAGTGTCGTTTAGCCTCTCTTTAGATAAATAAACCACGTCGCGCTTTCTCTACCATCTTCTTGGTTAGTTTCTGCTCAGTTCCAAGATAACCATGGATTGCTGTTGCAGTGAAATCAGAAATGGTCTGTTTGTTGAACTCTGTTAAACACTGAGATTTCCCCAGAACAAACTTCTGAGCATTTCAACCACACGGCATTCACTGAATTCCTTCTTTTGATAACCACTATAACATTCACGAAGTGTACCTCTGAAACTATGCTGCCTCTAGAAACACTTTGACCCACTCCTTCACCTAAACAGAATTCTTCTGGTGATTTGTTGCTAAAAGGAAACTCCCTTTTTACTGTTTTTCCTTCTCCATAATTTATAAAAAGTTTTAACATCAGAGGTTTGGGGGGTTGTTAATATTCCAAGCACAACAAGACCTGCAGACCTTTTTTTAGTAGTGGTTTGCACACTGTCATTAAAATGCCCTTAAAGTGTTTCAGCCAACATGAAGGTTTGATGGCATTTAGAGCTTCAGCTAAAGCGTGTTTATAACCATTGCTGGATAGTGTCTGGCATCTGGGATGTGTTTGTTGGCTTGGCCAAAGCCTTTGACTCTGTGGACCATAACATCTTACTTAGCAGGCTCAAACATGTAGGACTTTCTCAGTCATCGATGGCATGGTTCAGACGTTACATCTTAGATCATACACAAACAGTGAGAACAGAGGGTTTCCAATTTGCTGCTCTACCTCTATCTATGGGCGTCCCTCAAGGGTTGATACTGGGCCCAATCTTTTTCAAAATCTATATTAATAACACTGTTCATGCTGTGACAGTTCTAATATACATTTATATACGGATGACACCATTTTATATGCATGCAGTTCTTACTTGAACACAGCTTTGTCCTCCTTGCAGCACAACTTTAATTGTCCAACATGCCTTCTCCAACCATCATCATCATTTTAACACAAGGTAAACAAAGTTCATGATATTCAACCGTAACTTACCGCAATCAATTTTCCACCCTAGTATTGTTTCCCTGGATGGTACAGAACTACAACTTGTCAGTTCTTATAAGTATCTGGCTTGACAGCGCAGTTTCATTTGACCTTCACATTAATTCATTACTTTCTAAAGTCAAGTCAAGAATTGGGTTTCCATACCACAACAGGTCATCCTTTACTCAATCTGCAAAGCAAACCTTGGTCAAAATGACAATCCTTCTCATCTTAGATTATGGTGATATCATTTATAGAACTGTTAAAAAAAACTACTTCATAAAATCAATACCATTTATCACTCAGCAATCCGTTTTGTCACGGGTGATCCATTCCCGCAGGATCTTACATGGGTTATCAGTTCGTATACAAAACAATCATTGGTAGAACCATCATATCTTCGCTCATTACTTCCAACAACCGGTGCAATTTACGTCCCACTAACTTAATCTCTATGGTTATTCCCAAAGCTCGCACCTGCTTTGGCCGCTCCTCATTCCAGTTTGCTGCTTCCAACGACTGGAATGAGCTGCAAAAATCACTGAAGCTCATTACCTACATTCCCTTATCTACCTTCAATAATTCATTGCAATCAGTAGTTTCTGATCAGTGTGCTTCTGAGTACTTAGACTGTTTCCAAGTCTGTTTTGATTGCTTGTACATAATATACATGAGAACAGTCCTTTGTCTTTCTGTTTTATCTTATTTTGATCTTGTTTGTTTTCATCTTATCTGTCTGTTGTTCTTTGGTGTAAAGCTAGCTGTGTGTCTGTTGCCGCTGCTTCTTGCCCAGATCGATGTTGTAAATGAGAATGAGTTCTCAATCGACTGATTTGGTTAAATAAAATCCAATCAGATACCGGTGTTGCTGTTGGCGAGCCTTCTTCAGGATCAAGAATTCAACAGTTCTCTAATCTGTTGTTCCACAATCTGATGGCTCCAGTTAATATATTATGTGGTGTTTTCAGACTGAGCCATGTGCATATGTCTCAAAACAAAGAAGTCTCTTTCATCTGAACCATGTTCTAGTCAGCTGTGTGGTACATTAAAGCCATTGTCTTAAGAGCAGAACGTCCTTGCTCCATGAGGCGGACATCAGAACACCCCTTCAGTGGCGGCGTCTGGTTACACTCTGATGCTCTATGGCGCATTACTTTGTGTCCTTACTATTTCCAAGCCCTGCTGCTCCTGACCAAAGCAGTCTTTTATTTCTACTCACTTTGATACTCCAACTTTCTCTGCATCTCCCTGTCTGTTCGGTGCACGGAGCAGCAGTCACTGAGCTTCTTCATGAAGTGTTTTGGTTTTATTCGTCATCTGTCTCAAAGCTGCTACGTAACCATGTGGGTTTTGGTTATTCACCGAGTAAAGATGGCACCTGATACTTCACTGTTTTCTTTGCATAATATCAGTTAATACAATTAATTATGCATCATTTCTGTACATTCTTGGTGTAATTTAATAAGATGTTGATTCTTTTTTTAAAATAAATATTTAGTTTAATAGCCTCAGAACAAAAAATCTGGAATCTTAATATTCTGACAGAACGAAAGAACCTGTGCAGTAACTCATGTGGGTATTTCATTTATTTAACTCCCCTGCTCAGAGGCTCCATCCTTGTTCATTAGGAGCAGGACAGCTAGGCAGCTCTTAGAAATATGAGCCTCCAGATAAGTCCTCCTACGCTGAAAGAATACTTCGCTGTTACACTTCAGTAGAGATGAGCACTCCAATCTCCTTTTGGCTGATTTTCCAGCTGGCATCCCCACTTGTTCTGAGATGGTGTTGGATCACAAAATGATTTATTAACATCTTCCTGTAATATGGCAACACTGCAAACCGTTTGCATTAAGTTGCAGAAATTCAAAAGGTTGGTGCTAACTACAGTAGCAGGTTCTAAACATACAGGTCAACGTGCACACACCATCACCTCCACTGTGTCTCAGTTTAACAGCTTTAATGGCCGATGGATGGGATGATATCCTCATGCAGACAACTTAGTGCTTTGGTTTTGGACGAGCTCACATCACTCCAGGTTTACAGTCCCTCCACTGGCTCCCGGTAGAATATAGAATACAGTTTAAAGTTTTAGTCCTGACCTATAGAGCTCTTAACAACCAGGCTCCAAGCTACCTATCTGAGCTTTTATCCCCACACACCACCTCTCGGACCCTTAGATCCACATCTGAAAACCTCCTGGCTGTTCCTGGAACCAGACTGAAAACCAAAGGGGACAGGGCCTTTCAGACTATTGCACCCAGACTTTGGAACAGTCTACCTTCAAATCTCCGTCTCTCTAACACTGTAGAGCAGACCTGGGCATTTTACGGCCCGCGGGCCACATACGGCCCTTTGGTTGACTTTGACCGGCCCGCGTAAGGTTAATTGGAAATTACAAAATATATGTATTTTCTCATTTTACCTCATGCATGGGCTAAGGCTGCATTGCTTTTATTTTGAAGTTGTTTTTTACGTGCACAATGACGAAATACGTAACAAGTGCCCGCGGTTGACATGGTGATTGTAGCCCCAGAAATGTCCGCTCATGCAAAAAAAAAAAAAAAAAAAGAAAGAAAGATGCCGAATGCAGGATTTTCAACAAAAATTGGACTGCTAAGTATTTTTTTTTTTTACTGAAGTCGGAGGCAAAGCCGTGTGTTTGGTTTGCGGGGAGGAGATTGCCGTGTTTAAGGACTACAATTTGAGTCGGCATTACGACAAGAAACACTCGCAAAAATACAAGAACTCATCTGATGCTGAGAGGGCACGGACATCCGAAGCTTTGCTAGCAAAGTTGCAAAAGCAGCAAGGCTGTTTTACTAAGCTTCACACATCCAGGGATGCAGCAACCAGGACCAGCTTTGTGATATCCCACAAAATAGCTAGAAACAGCAAGCCGTTTTCGGAGGGAGAGTTTGTCAAAGAGTGCATGGTGGACTCCGCAGCACCAATATGCCCTGAAAAAAAAGGCGCATTTGAGCAAATCCCGCTGTCCAGGCGAACCGTGGGGAACCTGGAGCTTCAGCTGCAACGTGAAGTGGCAAGTTTTGACTTTTTCTCATTGGCCTTAGACGAGAGCTGCGATGTCTGGGACACAGCCCAGCTGCTCGTATTTGTCCGGGGGATAACGGAGCTCACAGAGGAGCTGGCAGCAATGCGGTCGATGAGAGGGACAACGACAGGGAGTGATCTTTTTACAGAGGTAAATGCGTGCACGGACACTCTGGGATTGAAATGGGAGAGACTGTCAGGTGTCTCAACAGACGGTTGTCCAAATCTTACAGGGAAAAATGTCGGACTTTTGAAACGCATGCAAGATAAAGTGACAGAAATCGATGCAGATCAAAAATAGGTGTTTTTGCATTGAATTATACACCAACATGTGTTGTGCAAGTCAGTGCTAAAAATCAACCATGTTACTGATGTTGTTACTAAAATAATAAACTTAATCAGGGCACGGGCGATGAATCACAGACAGTTTGTGGCTCTTCTGGAGGACGTCTCCACACAGCTGTCAGATGGCTCAGCCTGGGGAAAGTGCTGAAGAGGGTTTGGGACTTGAAAGCAGAGATTCAGGATCTCTGCTGGATTTCTACTCTTCTCTTAAGGAAAACTTCCCAAACCTGAGGAGACATGCTCAGAAGATGTTGGTTCTCTTCGGCTCTACCTACATTTGTGAACAAACATTTTCAATGATGAAGTTTACAAAATCCAGGTAAAGATCCTCTCTCACTGATGACCATTTGTCAGCTGTGCTTCGCATCTCCACCTCAGACATTCAACCTGACTTTGATGCACTTGTTAAAGCCCAGCAGAGACTAGATTTCTCTCACTGAATAAGAAAAAAATCACTTAAAAACACAAAATAAGGTGTTTGGACCACAAATGTAGGCAACTAGCAGTGAACTGGGACACTTTTTTAAACCTCTTTCTCAAGATCACAGTTCAGTGATTTTATTTTACAGACATTACTGTGTGTCTGTAGAATGCTAAGAACCTCTTTCCAACAATATTTGAAACTCAAAATGTGTTTTGGAGTGAATGTGACTGAAACTGTTAACTAATATAAATCACAAATGTTTAACAAAAACCAAATGTGCACACTTTGTTTACCATTGCCTTGGGAAATTTGAATAAATCACATTTTTGTAAGCCAACCTCACTGTTTCCTTTTTGCTCATTTATAACATATAGTCTGCTCTTACCAGCTTGAAGAAACAATGGTATTTACTGCTTTTTATAAAAAAAATACCATTAATATTATGCATAATTGACTTCAGTCTTTTGGCCTGGCCCTCCACAATATTTTCTATTTCTCATGTGGCCCCATGGAAAAAATAATTGCCCACCCCTGCTGTAGAGGTCTTTAAAAATCATCTAAAAACTCACCTTTTCATCCAGGCGTTCCCTCCCTAAATGTTTCAGAATGATGGCTTTGTTCGGGTTCACACCTTCACTTTGTTTATACTCATGATTTTATTTTCTACGTTTAACACTGCTATTGTTTTTCTGATGTTTGTATTGGTTAGAGGTATTTGCCCTGATCTTTATCATGTTGTACAGCGCTTTGTGATTCATATCTGAGAAAGGCGCTCTATAAATAAACTTTAACTTACTTACTTACTTACTTGGTTTACAGTTGGATAAAAAACTGCCTCTTATAGTGCAGACTGAGCTGTGCCTCTTTCAGAAATGGGTCATCATAATGGCGATTTCCAGGTCAGGGACCGGTTCAGTGTTGCCTTAATAACAGTGTGTTTGTGGGTGCTGGAGGTAGGCTGTGGTCTCCTGGGTCTTAAAGGCTACAGTGACACATGATGTGACTCTGGTTCTGCTGGTGCTGCAGATTCCTCTGATACCAGTTGGGATTTTTTTTCTTTGCTTGTTAAAGCTGTGGTTCCGTAGTTTCAAAATCCTAAAGTAACGTCAAAAATGCTTAGATATCACTATCTTACCCTGTTATTTGATATAAGTAATCTTTCATAATTCCTATTTCCACTAAGTCCCTCCCCTGGTCTCCACAGCAAAACCAATCATTACGTGGCCCGGAGCGTTTGACCAATCAGGAGTGTGCTACCTTCACAAGTGCCAGACTCCTGTCGGTTTTACATGTTTACCTGCTTGAACAATACAGATTTGATTAAAATGATTGCTTAGCAGCTTCTGCAGAACAGTGTGCCCCTGATGCTTACCTACCAACGTTTTTCCTGCAGGCTGAACATGAAAATAGTCTCCTACACCCAGAGATGTGTATTGTTGAAATTCTGGAGATACGATACATATCACGATACAGGGGAGACGATACGATAAATCACGATATATTGCAATACATTCAGTCAGATGTTACAAGCAATTTTTTTAACTGAATTTATTGTAAGAATGTTCAATAAACAGTCCAAACTGATACGTAACATGTTTAACATGAGGTATTTGAACCATGATGGAGGGATTTACAGTTCAATGGTGGAAACAAAACCCGTTGCACACTGCTGCCAACTAGCGGGTGGCGATTGAATTGCACAAAACGAAAAGAAAATACACAAATGTTTGCATGTAAATTCTTTCAAAGATTAGATACACGGCTTTTGAATATCGATGTAATAATCGCAGGAAAAAATCACGATATATTGCCATATCGATATTTCCGATACACGGCTTTTGAACATCGATATAATATTGCTGGAAAAAATATCACGATATATTGCCATATCGATATTTTCTTACATCCCTACCTACACCTTTCTCCTGCATTAGCTTTTGATAGAAAATACAGTGGAACTCTGGTGTAGCTGCCAGGAAGTTTAAAGGTGTTGAGCACTTGTTTAATCAATACATTTGCAGTGGTTACTAGTGGGAATGAATGCCTTGTAAATTGTACTTGAGGGGAAAAAAAACACCAGTTCACCATTTCCAGAAACCAGAGCTGGGTTTCAGACTTCAGGATTTGGAGTCTTATTTCCTGATAATTGGACATCTGTCCTCTGATTGGATAACAGGAACCCGACTCTACCACTGACTCTGTATGTTCTGCGACGTTGATGTTTTATCTCTACAAATAACACAAACCTGGAGGAGTTCTGCTGTGCAGTGAAGTTGCTAATGCTAATAGTTAGCTTCTACTAGCAAGCTGTTTGCTGGACGCTAAACCAATAACAACCTTCCTCGTCACGAGTCAAGATGGATGACTCCATGAATGAGTGTGTGTGGTGTAGAGCTCAGGCTTTTCAATTCCTAGTTTCATCATCTATTTTCCATCAGAAGCTAAAGCAGGAGACAGTTTTCATATTCAGCCTGTATGAAACACTAAGTAGCCAATTTTAAGCAGAAATCAAATTTTACAAATGTTTTTACAATGTCCCACACCTTTTAAGTAAAATTCTGCATCAACAGCGGGCTACCTGTGGAAGTGCGTGATTTTAAATTGGCTCTACTAAAGAGGGATATTATTATTATCATTATTATTATTATTATTATTATTATTATTATTAAAGAGGGATATCAGCGGAGGACGATAAATTAAAAAAAAGGTAAATATCATACCGATAAATTAGTCCGTCTCTAAAAACATTGCTTTTATCTCCTTATTCCTAAATAAACAAATTCACCCTGCAGAGTAGAAAATCCTCTCTTTAAATGACTTCATTGCTGGCTGTTTAAAACGCTTCCGTTCCCTTTTGGTAGAAATAATTTGCCGTGGTCGTGCCTGCGTTTCTGGGCCTGCCACGCTGTGGTGTTATGAATGAGATTGTTGGCTGGGGCTTCTGTGTCAGAACCATAAAGCCAGTCTGTTTGTGACTGTCCCCCCGCCAAAGAGACGGAGATGTTGTAGCAGAAACTTCCATCAGCGACACGGCCATAACCAAACACCAACCCTGTCCCCTCTCGTTGTATTCAGAAAGTCGCACCTGCCGCTTTAATGGAGGAACAGGTTGTAGACGGTGAACTAACTTTAGATGCAGTTTACTTGGGTTAATGACCGAGGACATGTCCTTAAGGTTTCTGTTGCCATTTTTTTCATTTGGTGAGTAAATGTTCACGCTCTTGTGTAAATTCTTCATACTCTGTCTTGATTTAGGCAGCTCCAAAGGAAAACGCAAGAAAAAAATAGTCTGCAGGACCCAGAACTACCTGAACCTGTATGCTGCAGATGGCCTGCGAACACTTTGTATTGCCAGAAAGGTAAGTGAGCAAACATCAGTAAACCTCTCAAGCGCTGAACCTCAGCTCGTTGCACTGCTTTAGAGCTCGATGGGGAGTGTGTGGCTCAGTGGCAGGCTGCTATTGTAGCCCAGCACAGATGATCACACGGAGCGGTCCGTCCAAAAGTGACATTCTTTGTGACTCAGCCACAATCTGCGCCTCTTTCTCAGGCTGTTAATTTATGCTCTTGCAGGGCCGGCTTGTTATATTTCTGCTTGTGCACAAGTCGTCACTAAAGCCGAGTGGTGTAACGCCTTGTCAAGATCTCACATGATTCTGTGGTCTGCTATGGAGGGAGACGCTGCACCACTGCTCCCTCTAGCACTCAGAACAGATGATGCTTTAATTGTGAGCAAACTTTTGTGTTTGTCAGGTTTTGAGCAAAGAGGAGTACGCCTGCTGGCTGCAGCATCACTTACAGGCTGAGACCGCCATTCAGGGAAGAGAGGAGCTGCTCTTTGAGTCGGCCTTGAGACTGGAAACAAACCTCCATCTGTTGGGTAATTGGTAGATTTTTCTTGTTTACCTTCATCGTGAGACTTGAAAACTGATTTTCCATCAGATGTAGAACAAAACATCGCTGCTGTAGTGTTTTACGGGTGTGTGCATCGACCTGCAGGAGCGACTGGCATTGAGGATCGGCTGCAAGATGGTGTCCCTGAAACAATAGCTTCACTGCGGAAGGCTGGCCTGCAGATATGGGTGCTGACTGGTGACAAACAGGAAACGGCCGTCAACATTGCGTACGCCTGCAAGCTGCTGGACCCTGAGGAGGAGATTCTGACCTTGAACGCTGACTCTCAGGTGAGCTGCAGCACCCAGAATCCCATCATCTTCATCCCATCGAGACCTTTTTGGTGAAATTAAAACATTAAGAAATAAATAAAAGTAATCTATTGTCACTCTATTAAATTTTAGTGATGTGGTAAATGTAGAGGTTTATCGTAAATTTGGGTTTGTTCAGTGGTTACGTTGTTTTATTAGACATCACTGTCCTAACCATAACCCCGCTGTCTGAACCAGGAGGCATGTGCTCTGTTGCTGGAGGAGAGTTTACACTACATCCAGGCCAAATTCCTCTGCAGCTCTGGAGACCAGACCACCAACGCCTTCCACTCAAACTTTGCACCCGTAGAGACGTATCCCTTCTCCTCCTCCCACATCTCTCCCTTCTCGGTGCACCGGCTGGGCCTGGTCATTGATGGACGGACCTTGGCGTATGCCCTGGATAAGAGCTTGGAGGATAAATTTCTGGCTGTAGCTCGGAGCTGCCGCTCGGTGCTGTGCTGCCGCTCCACGCCGCTGCAGAAGAGCATGGTGGTCAAACTGGTGCGGAACAAGCTGAAGGTCATGACTCTGGCTATAGGTGAGCAGCAGATGAAAGATGCACAATCACACGTTTAGTCTACAAAATGTTTTCATCATTTTACTAGAAAAACTCAAGAAAAATGCTCAGGAAAGTAGATGGAGGCTGTTAAATTTGTAACTAAACATAAATACATCACCGGATCACCTTAAAACCTTATGAGTAAAATCCAGCAGCATCCAACCGAGTGGAAACCAACCCTGGCTCTCAGCCTCGTCTGCTAGCAGGAACGGTAATCAATGACCGCTCTGCAAACTTTCATTGATTTGTCTAAAATCAAAATTGTCATTCTTGAAAAACAAAACTTTGACTGTTTCAGTCTGAGAAGCTGCACACAAATCTGGTTAGTTCACTCAAAGCGAACAGGAAGCTCCTAAAACACAACAGACTTGATTCCTAGATTTAGCCTCATTTAATACATTAAGGAAAATAATTTTCCAGAACATCTGGATCACTCAGGTGTTCTTGTGACTGAGTTAAAGATGTTTAACACTTTAAAGTTTTCTGATAGTCCGATACTTTTGTTTTTGCCTCTAGTTAACTAGTTGTAAGCGATTAGCTGTAAAATATTTTTTACATCGGATAACTTACCAGGTTGTAGTTTAAATCTTTTTATCTGTCATACAAAACAAACTTTCCACAAAGTAGCTTTTTATGAAGATTATCGCCCAGTTGGTCTTTCGAACCGGTTTAAAAAGATATTATTAAGCTAATGTCATTTTGATTTGACTATATTTGAATATATTAGCATCTGTTGTGTTCTCTATATCATAGAATGTTTATAACATTCAAATCACTGCTATCACTGTCTAGCTAACGCCTCAACGTCGGACAGGAAAGAGTCGACCAGACCTTTAGGTGACGATGAAAAGTGTTGTAGTGGCTATTTGTCCATAAAACTTCAACAAAAATAATCAAATACTTTCGTGTGTGTGTGTGTGTGTGTGTGTGTGCGTGCGTGCGTGCGTGCGTGCGTGTGTGTGTTAAACCATGTTCCCTCGCAGCCCTGGCTGCTCCACCCACCTTCACCTATTTATACAATAATCTCCCACACCTGACCAATAAACTAATTAGCCAAAATGTATAAATAAAAAGCATAATGCTAAACAAACAAACTACCTTTGGCATAAAATTAAGAACATAAGCTAGGCTATAACTTAAGCCTATAATAAACTAAATAGCTTCAACAGCGTTGTTTCTGAATTGAACTATTTTCCGAGTCGCCATCGATCTTTCTTTAAAAGCAGCGGTGAGAGATGTTTGTTCCTGCTCTGCTGAAGCTCGTGGGAGGAAGCGCCAATCCGATCCTGACGTTGCTCTGCTGAGTTGGGTTCCTAAAGCTCAGCATACAGAGCATCAGCTATCTCCACAGTGCTTTTATGTGTGACTCATATTCCCTTTTTGAGTAAAAAGCAATCATAAGTCTTCATGCTTGTGAACAGTGAATGATCAGCAGGTGTAAAAATGATGTAGGAACCACAGTGACATTTATGGAGATGGCAGCAGCGCGCTTTGGTGTCGACTACTCAGTGTAGCTGTTATCTGATCAGGACATTCGGTTAGGCAGGGGTCTCCACAGTTTTTAGGACAAGGGCCACAAGCATCAAATGAAGCCATAGTGGGCTGTAAAATGTCAAAAAGCAACCGATTCTTTAATGATGCATTTATTTTATTTTTTATTGCTCAAAAGGCCTCATATTGGTACAAACAATAAAATGTTAAGCGTTGAGCCTCTCTTTATTTCTACAGTTAAGTTTAGAAAACACTAGTCATCCTTTTTACAATAATTATGTTGATTAAGAATAAATAGAAGATCATCCTGAAAGGCGGTTTTGTAAACGACCTTTTCATTTTCTACAGTCACTGGTTGGACGACCAGCAGAACAGCAGCAGTTGGGTGTCCAGTGCTTCCTTCTGCCACCCGGTCTAGCAGCAGATGGTCGTTATGTTTATGGGTTAAGTGAAGAACATTGTAGTTTTTTGTGATGTCGGACTTTGAACTCAAAGTTGGAGAGAAAAGCTGCTTTCATCAACCAAAACCCACATTCCTGCTCTGATCAATGACATGAGACCGTCATTTTATGTGATCAGAAACTTTGTGTTTTTATGACATCACAGAGGTCAGAGAAGATGTTCACAACCCTCTGCTGTTCTTAATTAGTTCCTGCTGCACTCTGGAGAAATCCCTTTCTGCAAGTCGAGCTTTATTTTGACTTTGTTGGCAGCTGCAAGGAGAAAAAATCAGCTTCTCGCATCTTTCACTTCACACCTCCATGCAGAAGCAGCCAACTCTTTACACTCCCACAGTCACAACCATCAGCCTTCATCTGGCTCTTTGCAGGTTTAACAGTACCTGTAATCATTTGGCTTTTCACTTTAGCAATAAAAGTCTATTTAAGCAACAGGAAAGCACGATCAGAAACATCAGAACCAGACTGTAAATGTTTACATTTGTAATGTTGGAAAGTTATTCACTGGTAAACACAACAGAAGGTTTATTCCCAGTATCGGCATCAAATATGTGTTTTTATGTTTGTTTCTAAGGGGACGTTTGAGGGAATCGTGCATCCAGATCCAGTCAGCTGTTCATATACACGTGTTGTTTTGCAGAGACTGAAGTGTATAGACACAAACACAAAGTTTTCTCTGAGCTATCCCCCTCTTCTCCTGCCCACCAGCACTTCTACCTGTCCCTGTCAGGGGATCCTTCTACACCACTTATGTCTCCCCTGCATTGATCACAGGTGATGGAGCCAACGACGTCAGCATGATCCAAGTAGCGGACGTTGGCGTGGGGATCTCTGGACAGGAGGGCATGCAGGTAAGAGGGCGAAGGGGAGTCCGCTGCACAACGTTTAGGATTTCTTTCCCCTCCAAATTAGTATTTTCCTGGGAATTCTGGGATTTCTGATTTAACTGCATGTTTTTTACAAGAACTTTCTCTGGAGAATTAGAACATTTTAAAGATTTGCATTTAAATAAAAAAAAATTGCCCAAATTTTAGGAATACAAACGGAATTACCCTGCATGTGTGTTTCAGCCATCGACATTAATATATGGACAATGGGTTTCCATAGGCTCCAATAACAAGTTTTTCTGCTAAAATGGGAGGTGGCCACCACCGCCATTTTGACCGTGTCACAGGTTCCATCAAGCCCAGACAATTCCATAAAAGGGAAGAGAGGAGGAGTTGAGGGTGGGGCTGTAAGGCTGGGATCAACTGATGACACCCGGTCGAACTAGCTACAAGCTAACCTGAAGCTAACCCAAAGCTAACGTGGAGGTGGGAGCTAAGCTAACGGAGGTAGCAACCTAGCTACAACCAGAGTTAACTGTGCACAACACCAGAGCTTCTGAGTCAGAGATACGCCGGGCTGACCGCTGGGTAAAACCGGGTGGAAAACATCGGTCTCCCGAGAGCTCCACAAGCCGATAGTGGGAACCCAGCTCCACCAACATGTTATATTTCAACCCATTTTCTAAAGTGCAGCATTATGTTAAATGCACTGGGTTTTACCCTATTACATTTAAATTTCATGGTTAAACAGTACATGTTAAAATCTAAGCTCAGCTCGGCAGTGACCTAAAATACATAAATATAATTTTACTTACCGAAAAAAATGAAGTGGAGACTCCTTGGACGCTCTATCAGTGCACTTAATGCCACAGCAAGTCATTTTGTCCAACAATTGCACAAATAATATCCAAACAAGAATACACAAACGCTACAACTAATGGTCTAAGTTGAGAGACTAAAAATGGCGGAACAGTTTTCAGGCGAGGCCGAGGCTCTACTGAGGCCTTTCCCCGGAGCTAGCTCTGCGGTCACGTGGGTCTGATGCTCATTAATTATACAGAATTTTAGGCTTTTAATACACTTAAATAGAAGAGTGAGAAAACAATTCACCCCCTCAGAGTTGTCATGAGTGTAAACTAGATCATTTAAACTTAAAACATGTTCTGGTACCAGGCTGTAAACATGTTTATTTCTGCTGTGAAGTTGGTATTTTTAACATGGGAGTCAATGAGGATTTGCTCGTTTCTGACACCAGCCCCTAGTGGATGAGGGTGGAACTGCAATTTTTCTCACTTCCGGGTTGGCCTCACTTTTAAAGCCGCATTGTGGGGGCCTGGTTTCAGCTCTACAGAACATTTAGTTCTTTAAGGGTGTGGAACACTGAACACCCGTTTTTTTATGATTATTTCTGATTATAATCAGTCGCTCTGAGTTTTCCATGCAGGCTGAACATAAAGAGTCTCCTACACCTATTTCCTGCATTAGCTTCTGAAAATAGATGGTGAAGCTCTAGGATTAGAAAATCCTCACAGATCAACGTCACATTGTCACTTAACATTCATGGACTCACCCATCTTGGCTCACAACTGGGAAGGCTGTTGTTGGTTTAGCATCCAGGAAACAGCAGAGAACATCTTTGCTAGTTGAAGCTAACCATTAGCATTATTAGCAGCTTCACAACATGGCAGAACTCTTTCAGTCTTGTTATGGTGGAGATAAAACATCCACTTTGCAGAGCAGAGTCAGATGGAGTTGCTGTTATCCAATCTGACGTGAATTGTCCAAATATCAGGAAATAGGAATCCAAAACCAGTAAACTGCGCTGCGCTGGGTGGCTGCATGTTGGAGTAGCTCTGTTGACTATATGTAAGTTTTGCCTTTTCTTGGGCATTTTTTCTTCTAGTTTCTCAAGAAAAACTGTATTTTTTTGGACACTTTACTTTTCTGTTTCTGGTGCTGTGAAGCTTGGAGGATTTTTACTGCTATTTTTTAGCTTTTTTTCACTTTTTGAGCATTTGTTATGATGCGTAACCATGGCAACAATCTGTTTACAATCGGGAGCAGCTGATTAACATTGGAAAGGCTGAAATAATACCTCAACTGAAACCACAAATCCCAAATGAGCTAAAACACAAGAAGCGTGGGTGCAAAGCGGGAGCAAAATGGAGACAGAGAAAGAGGAAATTCAAACCATCTCTTCCATCGATCATAATGGGCAATGTGAGATCACTGGCCAACAAGATGGAGGAACTCCAAGCCCTTTCAAGGACTCAGCCAGAGTTTCGGCAGTTTCGGAACCGCTGGAGGAGATAATGCAAAGAAGGATTCTCCAGAGAATCAAGAACATGATGGACAACCCTGAGCGTTCTCTTCACAAGACTGTCCGACAACGGAAGAGTGTCTTCAGTCAGAGGCTTCTTCAGTTTGGCTGCAACACTGACCGCTACTGGAGATCTTTCCTGCCAACAGCCATTGTAATATACAACAACTCTTTGATGACTTGATTATTATTATTATTCTGAGCTACTACAGCAATCAGTTTCCCTCTGGGATTAATAAAGTATTTTTGAATTGAATTGAAATCATGCCGTCTGAAGCTCTCCCCTAATGTGGCGTTGTGCTAGTTCCTGAAACGGGCGCACCAGAGCCGCTCCACTGCAAATGTAATGATTAAATGAGTGTCGTACACCTACAGGTGTTTAGTAATTTGTCTGTAAATGATTAAATCAAAAGTATTCCTGTAGATTTTTTCAAGTACTTCACATAAATTCAGCTTTTTTTATTAAACAAAAGGGTTTTACAAATAAGTATAACACCAAGTGTCATATTTAAATCTCTTCATATCTTTTAAAAATCAGATTTGTTACTCTCATTTCTAATGTCCAGTCTGCAGTCCTGTCCGTTTTCTCCTCACATGGCTTTATTTGTGGATTTAAGTGCAAACAGGCCTGGAAGTCTGTGGTAGTTGATGCCTTTTCATTCCTCTTCAGAGCAGACGTATAGATAGGACTGCTAGTTGTGCTGACTCAGGCTGAGCCCTGTGTCCTGAAGGGAAGCAGCAGCCTTTCTGCCTTACCCACATCACCGCACAGGTAACAGACCGTTAAGGATCACACTGACCTGCCCGCTCTCCCCGCTGCTCATTAGCCGGCAGCCTCCTTCAGCAGAGCTCTGCGACGATGGAGATTCCCACTTTACTGCTTGTTGTGGCTTCAGCGCCGCGCGTCTGCGTCCGTTACAACTTCTATACCCTGGCATCATCTGAGCCTCTAGATTAATTACCGTTTATCAAACTGTGGTCTCAGCTGTAAATTCTTACATTTCACATTGCTCTGAGGCCGCGTGCGTTCTACATTATGAATTACACTTGTTTCCTCTCTCCCCACGTCGTCGTTAGGACTTTATTAGAGCGCAGCACTACCTAAACCAGGCGTCTGCTGCCGTTCCTCTAGTTGACTGATATTGTTGACAGCTGGGAGGTGTCATAAAGGGTTGGCGTTGCCCTTTAGGATGTAAGTCACTCAGCAGGACTGAGTACAAGGAGGGTTGTAGATGTTGATGGATGAGACCGACTGTCCTGCCGCTGCAGGGAATCCCTGAAGGGAAACAACCTGTTTAAGGGTTATTGCTTTGGAAAGATTACACCCATTAAAGATTGATTAAACAGCCCAGCAAGATGAGCAGTTAGACCAGGGGTGTCATACTCGTTTTAGCTCAGGGGCCACATCGAGGGAAATCTAGTCCCACGTGGGCCGGACCGGTAAATTAAAAACAACTTCAGATTGTTTTCTTTGTTTTAATACAATCAATATAAAACAAGGCTGGAGCCTGAGGACAGTGTAGTACAAGTACTACATCTGAAGTGTACTTGAACATTTGAAGATAAGAAAAAAATATATATCAATAAATAAATAAACATCCCTTAGTGATTGAAAGAGCTTACAGATCACATGCTTAGATCAGTTTCATGCAGCACTTAAAGTATATTTGACTCATTTTACTTTACATCTTTTAGCTTTCACCAGCACATCAACATCAGGAGTCACATCCTGAGTGGCGGCCATCTTCAGGATGTGATTCAAGTTCTTGTGTGAGCCTTGAGCGCAGCTTTGTTTTATTTATACTCATTACAGAGAAAACTTGCTAACAATGATACGTTTATTTTCACTCTACATTGTAAAGTATGAAAATAAAGTTTACACAACCATCTCGCGGGCCGGATTTAACCTGCTTGCGGGCCGGATCCGGCCCGCGGGCCGCACGTTTGACGCCCCTGAGTTACATGCTGAGGAGGAGGAGACTGAAACGTTTGCTGTCTTGCAGGCGGTGATGGCGAGCGACTTTGCTCTCCCACGTTTCCGGTATCTCCAGAAACTTCTGCTGGTGCACGGACACTGGTGCTACTCCCGACTGGCAAACATGATCCTATACTTCTTCTACAAAAATGCAGTAAGGCTCCTGACCCTGTCTCCTTCAGCCTACGAGATACCTTCTTTTCTCAGGTCACTCTGTCTGTTTTGTTTGCCGCAGATGTTTGTATCGCTCATCTTCTGGTATCAGTTCTACTGTGGCTTCTCTGGCTCGGCCATGGTTGACCAGTGGTATCTGATCTTCTTTAACCTGATGTTCTCCGCCTTCCCACAACTCATCACTGGCACTCTGGACAAAGACGTGTCCGCAGAGACCCTCCAACGACTACCTCAGCTCTACATGAGCGGCCAGAACTCTGAGGTTCGGTCTCACGTTACATGACAGAAGAGTTATTACCGCAGCTGTCTCCATGGTGGCGATGGTTTTATATCACCTTCACTCAGTCACAGCTTTCTGATTTATTTTATTTGATTACTTTTCAGTTACTTTGATGTTTCTGAGTTACAAAAATGAGTAACTCTTATCCAAACTTCTACCAGATGGATGTGTGGGAAATGTCGTTTTAGTGTTTGTGGTAAAATAGTTTTTATTACGGCTGCAAAAGCAGCAGTTGGTCTTCGTTGCATCATGAAATCAAAACTGGATTTGCACTGCAGTAAATAACAGGTTATTGCATGAGTTCAGTACCTGCCCCGTAACAGGAGAGCTGCAGGTTTGAAACCCGTTCAGGCGGTTGCTGTCGTGTTTGGGGGCAGGACGCTTCACCCGCCTATCCTGCTGCCAGTGGTTGGAGGGACTGGTGGTGCAGCCCTCCTCCGTCAGGAGGTTCATGTGTGTGTGTGTGTGTGGGTGAATGACTGTTGTACTGTAACGTGTCTTTGGGGGTTCTAGCGTTCTAAAATGCTATACGGGCCATTTACCGTTCGCCATGATTTAAAACGGACTGCAGTTTAATGGGTTTTAAAAAGTAGCGTCTGTATAAACTGCTGTAAAGTTTTAGCTATTTGACCTTAGTGAGTCCAATTGAATTAGCTGTTTTAGCTTGTCAGCACTGTCTGCATGGGCCCAGCAGCAAATCACGTTAGCATTGTCACCGTGTAGTTCAGCTAGGCCGGCTGTGTCAGCAGGCCTATTAATAGAGCCCTGTCAGACTCTGGCGCTGGAGGAGCTGGACTGGGAGTAGTAGTATACTTTGATGCTGGTGATATTTATACTTGTATAACTAGAGTTTTCCTTTTAAAATACTACAGTGAAACTCTGACTGTGCAAGATGTAAAGGTTTGTAAAGTAATTTTCATGAGCGTCGGTGAAAATTGACATTTGGCTGTTCTCGGTCCTGAAGGCAATGGCGGGTTGGATGGTAAAAGGTTTCATAGCTCCACAGTAACGGATACTTAGCCTGGCAAACCGTCCTTTCTATGTGCATGAACACGCATGGCTAGATCATTTTGCTTTGGCGGTCTAGATTTCCAGGCTGAAAGTTACTTAAAGTGTGCCGATAAAGGAGGCGTGACGCTCTCCTTTCACAAACACGATATTCTCAGGTTTTATACCCTTGTGGCCTAACCGTCTGCTTCAAATCCAGTCGACTCACCTCAGCAAAGGAGCACCAAACCTGGACCGTTTAGATGTTCAGTGTGTTGCAACGGGTTTCTGATGTAGCGGGATGTTGGGGTATGTGTTGTGAGTGGCTCTCGGCTACTAACGTGCAGCTACATCCGCTGGGTTAAAGCCAGCATTGTGTTTGCTAAGGTCGGTTAGCTGGTGCTACATTCTTGAATGTTAATGAACCAGAATGTTGGTCAGTTGTAGACGTACACCTGTCCGTTTCACCAGAACCTGTGGCTCATGGGATAGTCTGCTAACCGGCTGTTGTTCCATTCTGCTTTTCTTAAGTATTAAGAAATAAAATAAATATCAGTAACATATCTATTTGTTTATTTACATCTATTTTATGGGGGTTAACTCAGCCTTTCTGTTCAAAATGCATCTTTTCCCTGTCACACTGATGTACTGAAGTGCAAATGTTTGGATTGTTCTTGCAGGAATATAAGCCATATATGTTCTGGATGAACATGATTGATGCCTTCTACCAAAGTCTCGCCTGCTTCTTCATTCCTTACTTTGTGAGTCTGGATTGAATCTCCATAAGCACGTGGGATTTGTTTTAACGCTCGTCTTTCTCCGGATGCCCTCTGCAGGCCTACGCTGACTCGGATGTGGATCTGTTTACGTGGGGGACCCCCATCACCACCATAGCTTTACTCACCATTCTGGTACAGCTGGGCATCGAGACCAAAACCTGGGTGAGAAGCTTGTTATCAAACACACTGGTAACCAGTAAGAACACGGTTACCGGTCTTAATGGTTACTGTGGTTAAATATTCTCATGTTTGTGTATTTAGCAGACTCGTTAGTCCAGAGCATCTTACAAGTGATAATGAAGCCAGCAGGTCGCCCTTGAGGCTAACAACAAACACTAATCGGTCAGTCCTAGGTGGCGGTGAGGCAGCATGATGAATCATAAAGGGAAGTGAACAAGGACTGGATGGTAGAGTGGGGGACGGGTGCAGGGAGGGGGCTAGTTTAGAAGATGCTTTCTGAAGAGCTGGGTCTTCAGGAGTTTCTTGAAAACTGACAGGTAGTAGGTCATTACACATGTGTGGAGTGACACATGAAAAGAGTCGGGATTAACCTGAGCAGGGTGGAGGCACCGCTAGCAGCTGATCCTCAGATGGCAGCCGGACCATTACATACGCTTTTACAAGAGGATTCAGGTAGATGGGAGCTGTACCATCCAGGACTTTGTATGCTAGTGCTAGTGATTTGAATTTGATGTGTGCAGCTAGCGGTAGCCAATGGAGCTCAATGAACAGAAGAGTGACGCGTGCTCTTTTGGGCTTACTGAAGACCAGACGCGCCGCTGCGTTCTGGACCATCTGAAGAGGTCTCACAGTACAGACTGCAAGACCAGTTAGAAGGGCGTTGCAGTCGTCGAGGCGGGCTCAGTGATTGACATTTGTATGTAAGAGGATGTCTAATACTATTGGCTAATGCTGAACAGCTGTCAACTCAAATTGCATTGGGCTCTACCGGGTGGGGGTGGGCTTAGCAGAAGAAAATGTACGTATTGCTTACGATCCACCTCAGTACAGGGCAACAGATTAACAACAGACTCTGGAAAGCTGCTTTAATTTACGATCACTTTCTCAGTGGTCTAGTGGTAGAGCGTCCGCCCTGAGACTGGGAGATCAGGGTTCGATTCCTGGTCGGGTCATACCAAAGACTTTGAAAAAATGGGACCCAATGCCTCCCTGCTTGGGGGGTTAAACCACCAAATGGTTCCCGAGCGCGGCCGTGTCTGCAGCTCACCGCTCCCCCAGGGGATGGGTCAAATGCGGAGAACAAATTTCGCACACACACCTGTATGTGTGACAACTAATGGGACTTTAACTTTATAAACCCACCGGTTAATGAACCGTCCATGCCTATTGATGTATTAGTTTTTATGATTACTGGTGTGTTATATGTTATAATTCTATAGTTCTGATGACGGGATGCAATCAGAACGGTTCGGTATCAGCTGGATGTCTTTTTTTTTGTGCAGGCCCTCTACTCATCAGCTCACTGCTGAGCTCAGACGAAACACACCTGCTAGCGTTGCTTTCCCTCTGCTTTTATCCTCTAGTGCTCACGACTCCGCAGTCTTGATTCAGTCTTCCCTCACTTTGTCCAGACAAGCGTTTAACTTAAACACGAAGAGGATCCCTTTAATTAATTACTGAGCATGAATACTGACCAATTATGAATCTCAGCTGGTAGGCTCCTCATTCTCTCACCATCAGGGAGATACTTTAGGTGGAAGGAAGCCGTGCTCCTGCCTCTAATCCATACAATAGCTGTGACGTGTAATTAATTACTGGGATTGTTCAGGATTACACGCTGAGCCTTTATTCTTATCCTCTGTCGGAGCAGCTCAGAGCACAAAAGCGCTTCAGCAGGACTTCTCCCAGCAATAGCTTCTGTTACGTTTAGTGACTTGAGGAATAATTTCATGCTGAGAAGTAAAAAGATTTTTTTGTCTTTTTATTGAAATAATAATGTTATCACCAGCTCCACCTTCCTTCTTCCAGCATCAAAACGTCCCATTTAAAACACGTCTTTGACAGTTATGTTTACCTATACGACCCTGGGTTTTGTCCCACGGTGTTGGTACAGAAGAAGCCACGG